CATAGAAATGAAATTTATATGGGAAATAAACCGTATGACTTTGAAATGTTGTTCCTCCGCACCTCAGCTCTTTAAAACATTTTTGCTTTATGTCCGTAACAGAATAACGGGAAATTTGAGTTTTGTGAAATTGCCTAAACCAGCAGTAGTTCAAACCGTTAAGTACTGAAATGGGCTCGGTGCTGAAGCAGAACGACTTTTCGTGGGCGTCTACTCGCATTGAAAATTTTGCTCTTCGCCGCATGTACTTTGAAGTACCGTTGTCATTATCGTACACATCTCTGGTAAGCCTAATATATTTTTCATTTCTTCTACCCGCTTTCTTCATGCTCGACCAAATTATCTGTCTTAGTACTTGATCAAGAACTTTCTCCATGTCTAAGAACACAGTATGAACGTCACTGCTATTTTTCTCTATAGTTTGAGAAATTATGTGACTGCCAAAGCAAGGGAATATCGTTTAAAATGAAAGTTCTGTGAATAACGCACCTGATTCCCATCCAAAACATCGTTACGTATAGAACTGCATTGTAGTGAAGATGGAAGTGTAAGAAGTGGCGTTAAATTTAAATAAAAGACGAGGAACCGAACAGTTCAACATGATTGTTCCAAGTTCAGTTTTCAACAACGACATGTCTTAAAATGATGCAATTGTTTGCGGCAGAAACTTTTTGTTTCTAATGAACTGGGGAAATTTTTCAAATTTTCTCCGTATTCACATGATTTATATTTTCTCGTTTTTAGATGGTTTTTGTCACATTTGGCATAAGTCGTGTTTAAAATTTAATTAACTTATTAATAATGGACTTTCGTTGTATTTTAGGTCAAGTGCTCAGTTCTCACGTCGCTGGAAAAGTGATGATGAAAAGCTACTTAAGTGGTATGCCGGAATGCAAATTTGGCATAAACGATAAACTCACCATGAATACCAGGATGAAATCCGCCGGCGAGGAAACGATTAAAAAGTATTCAGTCGTTTGAATTTTATGTCAATTCATTGCTAAGAGAATGGTGACAAGAAATTTCGAATATTTCTAATACAGTGGTCGGTGTTGTCAAAGCATGAAACTTGCAATTTTATATGCGGGGAAGAAGTATGATTCTTGCATGTTTAGAAAACTCCTCTGATAAATTTTCTTATGCTTTAAACCATTTCTCAACAGATGGTTCAGGGCATTCTCTGAAGCATTTTCTTCCTTCGTGTAAAAATTCATTGCTGCATAAATCTTGTGGATTTATGTTTCACAGCAATAGGGGATCAAGGGCGATCTTAGAAATTCTTTACATGCCACGCTTTCCGACGCTTCTCTCTCGTCTTCTCATTGTCACAGTACAAGTACTGAGCAAACTCTGGTTTTGTTGCTTTTTCATATGAGGTTGGTTGTAGCTGCTACTACTTCTTATTTTATCATATATTAACTTTTCTAGCCTATTATGCATAACGGTTCTTTGATGCGTCTCGAAATTTCTATCGCTCTTCCAACTGCACTGATATTCTTTAATGTATATGCACGTGGTTGTCAAGCTCGTTATATTATAATGTTGCACGTTCTGAACGTAATGTTTAAAGTAAACTGGTTTCTGTGTTTTCCCATAGAATATGCATAGTTACTTTGCGCTTAACTTCTGCAGTACCAAACTTTATGGCGTACTGCAACGCTATAATACACCTACTTGCCCGGTTACGTTTAAATAGGTCATGGAACAGACCGCTGTGTTAAATGCATCTCTTGTCATTATTGCTATATACATGTAAAGTGTTTATTTATGTTTCGGTGACTCACAAATATATTTGGTATATTAGATATTGTCTATATTGTATCGCCAGAATCTCTGTATATATCGGTCCGAGTACATTTATGATTAACGTTTTGTCTTATTTCTCAGCAGTCGAGCATCAGTGGTCATAGACGACTGTCAGTTTCATCAGTGCGTTAAACTAAGCAAATTCGAAACCGAGCACGCGATCAGCTTTATTCCGCCGGACGGGGAATTCGAACTCATGAGGTAAGCGGTAGTTATGTTTTATGAGAATTTCACAATGCTATCTCACAAGAATACATTATAGTGTGCTAGTATTGTGTCATAATCCCCATCCTTTTTTGATTCACTCCTGTATGAAGGCCTCTCCAAACGTTTGCCATAGACTTTTGTTTTCCGCAATTTTTATCCCTTCTTGATGCAGCGAACTACTACAGCTTATGGCATCGATCTGTATGTCTTCCTGTGGGCGGTTTGCTCTCTTCTGGAACACACTGTCACGTCTCTTTGATCCAGCGATGGTCAATTCTTCTAGTAGCGCGTCCTATCCATTACGACTTCAATGTCTTCACTTGGCTAATGACATGACAGCCTCCTGTTTCTGCTCTAATCCATTCATCCGTCTTTCCATCTTTTCTTGTTCTGCCAAACATACCCTTTTATGTTACGTTGCAAAGTCTGCAGCTTATGAATAATTTTCAGAATTAGGATCCACTTTTCTCACCCTAAGATTATCACTGAGAGCACTCATTGATCGAATACTGTTTCAAGCACAATGACAGTTTCTTATATGGGAATATTTTCAGTCTTCCAAAAGTGCTCTGTGCGATTTTTATTTTTCTGTTGATTTTCTATAGTTGGTTCTCAGTTGTAAAGATGCGTTGTCCAAGATAGAAATCGTTTTTCACTTCTTTATGCCTAAGTCTATGGCCTTCAGCAGGTCAACCTTCACGTGATTGTTAGACGTGATATGAGACTTTGTCATGTTCATTTTTTAATCTTCTCTTTTCGATTCTTCGTTGAAGTTCTAGTGACCTTGAGAAATTCTGAATATTATCCACAACCTTAGATTGCTTAAATAATGCACATTTAAGTTCAGACCGTGATTTTATCAGCGGATTTTCTTGAAAACCTCGTTTAAGGCTGCTGCAAATGACTTCACATTGGTATTCCTTTACCCTGTCGAACGTTCTGGTCGATTTTGAACTT